GTGGGCCCCCCCCCCCGGCCTTGCCAGCTCCTGCTGCTGCTGCTGCTGCTGCTGCTGCTGCTGGGGGTTTGGGTGCTGTTTTTGCTGCTGCAGCAGCAGGCGGCTGAGGCTGCTTCTCTTCTGGGGCTTTCTTTGTCGCTATGCTGCCTGTCTTGGGGGTGTAGGGGGTAGAGGGGGGCGGGGCGCTGGTGGGTATGGGGGGCTTGGATGCGGGCACTGTGCCTTCTCTCGGGAAAGAAGAGGTGGGGGCCCCTTTGTCTGCTGCTGCTGCTGCTGCTGCTGCAGCAGCAGCAGCAGATGGGTGCTGCTGTGCTGCTGTGGGGAGGCTGGTAAAGGGCCTGCGCCGCACCGGGTCAGCAGCCAGGTCAGCAGCAGAAAGAGAAGCACAGCCGGAGGAGACGATCCCCAGACCGATCCCCAGAGTGTGGGGTGCTGGGGGGGGGCGAAAGGACTCGCCACGGATGTCAACTAAAAAGAGACAGAGAAAGAGAGAGACAGAGAGAGAGAGAGAGAGAAATAGAGACAGAGAGAGAGAAAGGGAGAGACAGAGAGAGAGATAGAGAGAGAGAAGTAGAGAGAGAGACAGACAGACAGAGACAGAGAGAGATAGAGACAGAGAAATAGAGACAGAGACAGAGAAATAGAGACAGAGAGAGAGATAGAGAGAAAGACAGAGAGAGATAGAGACAGAGACAGAGACGGAGAGATAGAGACAGAAAGATAGAGAAAAAAATGTAGAGATAGAAAGATAGATATAGAGATATAAAGACAGAGACAGAGAGACGGAGACAGAGAAAGAGACAGAGACAGAGACAGAAAGATATAGAGATAGAGACAAAGATATAAACAGAGACAGAGATAGAGACAGAGACAGAGCAAGAGAAAGAGACAAAGACAGAGAAAGATAGAGAAAGATAGAGACAGAGAGAGAGAGAGAGATAGAGACAAAGACAGAGACAGAGATAGAGACAGATAGATACAGATATATAGATAAAGAGATAGGGATAGATATAAAGACAAAGAAACAGAAAAAGACAGAGACAAATAAATATATAAAACT